GTCCCAAGCATATTACCGTCTTCTATCACCCCTATGTTATTTCGAAACTATTCCGAATAGGTCAGAAGAATACTACGAATTTCAAAAGATCTTTATTTTGACTTACCACATTATGGGGGAGGTGGGGTGTAAAAGTAAGCTTGACTTCAAGCAGCACAAGTTAACTTGAACATAAATTTGTCGCAGCAATGTTTCCGTGCTTTAGAAATATAGCGCAGATTGATATCATCACTTAGTACAGCAATTAGTCATTAACGTGCTCTAATTTGACTAATTTGACGGCATGACTATTTGAAGCGGAGATAAATTTGTGCTATTTAAGCATCTCTCTGAAGAACAGCTAATTGAGTGAGAAATGAAATATTTCAAAGTAACCTGTCAAAAGGATTTATTACGCATATATACAATGTAAAAATTTCCAAAGTATATATTTAATTCGCATAGATTTTGGGAATTCTTTTGAACAATTTCCGAATACAACAGAGAAATGTGTGAGCAAAAGATATGTGCTATTTCAGCTCGTTGCGTGATTCGTGCTTCTCCACTGGATCTGATCTTCATTCTGGACAGCTCAGGATCGCTACGAGATAAGTTCCAAGACGAGATCGACGTGATTCGTCGCATCATAAAACATGTGACGATCGGGGAATTCGCCACGCGCGTGATGCTCATTCAGTTCAGGTAAACACTGCTTTGTCGTTTTCATAGTGAAAATGGCAATTCACTGCTTGCAGTGGAACACAACATTTGGAGTTCAACTTTCACAAGTTCACAACACGCGGGGAGTTGTTGGCTGCTCTCGATGTGCTAAGACATGTGTCCGGCATAACGCGTATTGGTGGAGCTTTTGAGTTTGCCCTTGAAGCCCTGAAAAACCCTGTGAACGTAAGACGACTTGTCCAGGATAACTAGCGCCTAATGTGTAATCACTCTTTAGGGCATGCGAGATGGGAACGTTCCTAAAATTCTGTATTTGCTGTCAGACGGAAGGACTCATGACTACCCAAAAGACTGGGAAATGGTCGATGTGCTGAGAAGGTCAGAATGATGAGCTTGATACATAATAAGGCTGAAATAAGGCTTATCTACTTTAGGTCAGTACCAAATATTGACATCTGGGCGTATGGCACCGGCGATTATGTTGCAATGAGTGCACTCGTTAACTATACTCAGGTAACGCTACAAGTTTGGTGTTTGAGATTGAACGCAAGAAAAAAATTAATTGTTTCCAATAACGAGAAGTAAACCATCGACTCGTTTTTCAGTATGAGAAGCTTGAGTGTTAGGGAAATTGCGTAATTTTTGTTTAGATTTTATTTTACATTACATTAATATCTAGAAGAAGAATGAGCTTTTTATTTCTAATCGTGTAAATGTAGCCGAATGATGATTGGCAACCCCAAATATAGAAGAACAAATTAGATGAAATTAGGCACGTTGAAAGTGTAAAATGTTATTGAGATGCTGAATGTGTTCGAGATAAGGCAATTTTTTGAGAAAAATGACCATATCAAGAAAGCCAATAATATGTAGCTAATGTCTTACTACCTAGTTGGATGGTATATCTCTTTCCCGCAGCCGTTTTGCAATTGTGTGGGTATGCAAATGTTGCAATTAGACTTATATGAACATTTGTGCATTGAGTTATTTGAACGTCCATACGCCATTTCCCCTGAGAGTTATATAGGCAACAGGTCATTGCAAAAGTTATATTTGGCAGACATTCGCTTCACCAAACAAAAGAACGATAAATTTTTGAATTCTTAGTACACTAGATTAAAAGACACTTTTTCACTCAAGCAGGCAATGACTAATAGACAAAAAAGCTTCTTCGGAGATCCTTCTGTTTGATTGCTTGCTTAACGGCAAAATAATTTAACTAATATTCCATAAATAGCAAATTTCTGAAACAAAATGAATTAATTTTTGTTGGTTAGATGAGATTATAGAGTAGGCCTTTTGCATTGTTTGTTACCTTCGCATTTTCCCGTGCAGGGTCTGCTGTACGAGTAAACCGTCTCCAAAATTCTCGATTCAGGGCATGATATTTAACTTTCCTAAACTCTTTCAAATCTGTTCTTATTATCTCCATCTACTCTTTGGCCATCCCCGTGGTCTTTTTCCAGCAACCTCCAGAAAAAACTGCCATTCTTGTGTTGTGGGTCTCATGTCTGCACACAGGTGCGTACTATCGCAGTCATTACCCTTGTATCTTCTTGATGATGGGAGCATCTTCCTGGCTCGAACTGTGTCATTACAAACATGATCTAAGGTGATGCTCAACACTCTTACCCAACATTCTTCGTTTCGTGTACTTGGCCAACATTCACTGCCATAGAGTGATGTTGGACGTAACAGTACGGGGTATTCGGGACAAAGCCCCACTGACATTCGCTTATCGCGTAGAACTCCCTGCGTCTTTCTTGACCAATAGCTCATCTTGAGTCCTCCTTCTCCAGCGATGCGAATTCGTAGGTACTTGAAAGTACTCGTCTTCTTGATTAGCTTTTCATTGATGGGTATGGTT